ATCTTCCTTCCGAGGAGTGGCTGGTGAGTTTGAACCACCAGCCTTCTGGTTAGCAATCAAGTGCCTTAGGCACTATGCTACCAGAGCTCCCATCAATATTAGGCAGAGCACTGGCAATGTGGATCATATCTGGGGTAAGGAGTCAGGAAACACTGATTGAAAAACAAGTCAGGAAACCCAGAGAAAGAAAGGGAGGTGCCTTTCCATGTAATGCAAGAGCAATGGTGCCAGTTATAGGAAAGCAGACCTTCATTCAACATATTGAAGAATTTCCTGGCAACTATAAATAAAAGATGATGAAAGAGGCCACTTGTGAGGCAGTGAACCTCCTGTCCCTGGAAGTTCATCAGTAGATGCTGATGTTAGTAATGTTGTCAAGGTTTTTCTAACTTGAGTAGAAATCAAACTCTAAGAATACAAGAAGCCCATTTAATGAAGCTGCTCTGACAGCCATGTATATAGAGGCAGGACAAGACGACAAGGCCCTGCCTAGCCCTGTCTGCTGAGGATGCCACATCCAGGACCAGCTAGGGTGAATGACTCCTCATCACAAAGGCACCTGGAGCCTCCAGGACTGGACTGAATTTGGGGTGGAGGAAGGGTTGCTGTAGTCTGGAAAGGTCTTGGCTAGCGTTGGAGCCCAAAAGGAGGCAAGTCCTAAATCTGTTCGAGGTCACTCACAGAGGCAAGTTGAGGGACAAAGGAGTATCAGGAAATGGGTTCAGCCTCAAAGCGCTCCCTTGTCTAGTGGGAAGAGGCAGGGTTACATGGCCTGACAATAGGATAGCCAGGGAAGGTTTCACAGAGCAGGGGAGATATGAGCTAAGTCTTGAAGGATGAGTAGGAGTTTTTCAGGAGGTCTAGTCAGGGAAAGAACATTCCATGAAGAGGGAACTGTGTGTTCAAAAGAACATGCAATAATGTGCTACAGGATCATAGGTGAGACTGATCCCCAGAGGGATAGACTGAGACTTTGGTAAGTGGAAGAGGTCTAAATCCTCTGCCAAAGTTAGGGCCTTTCTGGCCCAGGGGACACCAAGCCCTGGGCCTAACCTTCCAGGCAGCTGGGTTTCCTGGATCATTTCCTGGATCACAGCCTTGGTGCAGGGTGGGTAAATGGCTTCCTTCAGCTGGCCTGAGGTCCCTAGGTCTAGAGAGTCTGTACAGGTACTGAATCTTCTCGGTCCTCCCCAGGCAGAAAAAGATGAGCATGTGTTTGCAAAAGGATTTGCTGAGGTGGTTTGCTGGGCAAACATGGGGCTGGCTGGGAGCTGGGGGGCAGCCAAGGGGTACTTGTTCTCTTTCAGCGCTTTGAAGAATAGAGGCACAGAGTGAGAGAGATGTAGAAGCACCTAGGAAATACATAAGGAGGTATGAAGCCGAGAGGGAACCTGACCTTTTACCTCGCTTATTTTCGGTTGCTGGTCTTACTTGCCTTCTCTTTCCCATTTTGTTCTGCAGCCACATTTGGAAATATAAGTGGAGGCTAAGGGGGATTCTGGGAGCTATGTTAAGCACAAAGAAAACCCAAAATGGTGAAACCACAAGCCTCACTTTCTAGCCTCCTATGGCAACCCAGATCAAGAAGGGAATGTGTGTGTTATTGATAGAAGGAAGACTCTCATGGAAAGGAAAAGAAATAAAGCTGGAGCCTTTAGTCAAAGGTCATGGAGCTTTGGAAGTGGGGGGTGAACAGAGTGAAAGACAGAGAAAAAAGATTTGTAGGAGATCCCCATAGATTAAATTTGTCCTCTTTTCAGATATATGGAGGCCCCAGGGAAGTCTCCTGGGAGCTTCTCCTGGGCTGCTGTGAGTGCGAGCACTTGGTGCAGCATTGTTACACAAGGGAAGCCAACAACACCCCGCACCCCCACACACACCCCCGGTTTCTTGATCTAAGAACCTAAGGTGTGGCTTAGGAAGAGCCTTAACCCAAGAAGGGGGGTGGGAAGGAGGGAGCTTGAAATGACATCTTTCAAACAGGTCTTTGACTTTAACCACCAGTGAGAGGGACTGGTCTTCTTGAGGGTGGCCGAGGTCATCCTTATGATCCCTTCAGGGTCAGAAAACCCAGTAAGGACATGTAAAGGGAAAGCTCTCCCTTCTTACCTTTTTCCAGCAGCTACAGTTCCTTCCCCATTGGAAAACATGGTCGTTTATCTTCCACTGGGCTGCTGAGTGGAGATAGTGTGGTCTCAGACTGTCCCTCTGAAGACTGGCTATTTTCCCTAAATCTGACTGAAGTTCTGGAGACTGGGGTGGGGGAGGGAGCTGGTCAGGATAGGAGGACTAAGGTCCAAGGCTGATGACCAGCTCCCAGGGTTAAGCAAAGTGTAGAAGCCAGTGTTTAATTAGTAGAGAAGTTTTAAAGTTCATCCAGGCCCAGGGAAAGTAATGACCCACCTCTTTTGCTCATACTCCCCTACTCTCCTCTTCTCCTTTACAGAAATGAAAATGGAAAAGGAAAGTATGTTCACAAATTAACACTTGACCAGAAAATACCTGAGCAATCTAGTGCAACATTTTTCTTAGTTGACCAAAGCAGGAGATAGAAATTGGTGGATGTAATTGGCCAGTTGAATGTCCAGAAACTTCTAGCCCTCTACCTGCTGGCTAGAAGAAAAAATACAATATTTTTTTCTCCCATGGCTTTCTTTAGGGAAAGAGAATCCATAATGGCTAATCAGAGGGAGAAAAAAAAGACCCTTCTGAGAGAAAGTGCTACCTTCAGGCTTCTGAGAGCCAAGGTGACCTTGATGTAGGCCAGGACACACAGTAGTTACCCCTGTGGTCCACAGTTGTAACCATTCCCCCACTTAGCCCTGAAGTGATAGGTTGGAGGCACAAGAGAAGGGCCCTAAGGTGTGTTTTGGTTACCTCACGCTGCCCTAACAGAAATAGGTAGCTTTAACAAACAGGGGATTTATTCTCTTACAGTTTAGGTGGCTAGAAGTCTGAGTTCAAAGTGCCAAACTCTATGGACTGGGTGAAAGCCCCTCAACCTTGAATTTCAGCTTTGTCCCTTGCTTCCGGCACTGAAGCTGGAGGCTTTCTTCACTCAAGCAGTTGCTGGCTGCAGAAGCTGACAAATCCAAGGTTGACAAGTAAAACGGCACAGTCCAAATGGTGCCAAACCTCACGGCAGGCCATTGATTCAAGTCTGTTAAGAGTCCCAAGTTCAGCAGACATCATTGCAGACTGCTGAATAATGACTCGGCTACATTCAGGATTCAAGTGTGCCATAGGCTAGAGACCATTCCTAAAGCTTCTCCTTGTATACTGGGAACAGACCACATCCCTAAGGCAGCTACTCAGCTGTTCACAATAGATTCCACCATGGAGCTGATTACCAGTCTCATCATGGGGAATAACTACATCCAGCTGCCCATCCACTCAACCAGGCCCAGCCAAGTTGACACATAACCATCACTACCACAGAGTCTATGCCCAGGGTGTTTCTAAAGAGGACTGACTGATTGTGAGATACTTAGCAAACTTCTATTGGGGATCAGGAGACAAGAGTGTGTTGGTGGTGTTAAGTGTTATGGAGTCAGTTTCTTATTGTGACCTTATGTACACTGCCCAGTTCTGTGCCATCCTCATACTTATTGCTGTACTTGAGCCCATTGTTGCCGCCACTGTGTCGAGCCATATTGTTGAGGGTCTTCCTCTTTTTTGCTGACCCTCTGCTTTACCAAACATGATGTCCTTCTCCAGGGCTGGTCTCTCCCAATAACATGTCCAAAGTATGTGAGGCAAAGTCTCACCATCCTCACTTCCAAGGAGCATTCTGGCTGTACTTCTTCCAAGACAGAATGTAGGGCAGCTAAAAAACACATGTGTTAACTGCTGAAATACTTCTTTTAAAAAGCAAGCAAACCAAATTATATTTCATTGTGTTTATTGTTGCTTTTACTAGAAACTGTTGAGGAGAATAGGTGAAGTCAAATGAATGAGGTTAAAGGGTGGGTTATTTATATTTCCCTCTTCTCTGAATAGTCAAAACCAGTATCACTGGGATTGCTGCAGTAATGTTTATAGAAGAAATGTGTGGCCATCTGTGTGGTTGAAGACGCTTTGAAGATGTTGCTGTTATAGGAATTTCTGAACTTACTTTATTTATTAGATAGATAACCCCCATCTGGACTGAAGCTGTGTGTAAGTTCTTGGCTGATTCACACCTGGGACACCACAAGGCCTCCTGTGCCCAGTGTGACAGTTACAAGGTACTGTCTTAAAAGGTCCTCACTCAAATGCTCAGAGTCTGATTGCCACCCTAGATTAAAGATAATTGAAGTCTCCTGTTTAACCACTCGTGCTCCACAAACACAAGAACAGCAGATAGTGTTCTAGAGGGCTGGGGATGTCAGTTATGGGAGTTATACTGCAATCACATAAAGAAATTAATATATAAAAAATATATGTCAGGAAGGTGTGAATAAGGGCTATAGTGAAAAATAAAGCAGGACAAGAGGATACCCAGTGATGGTGGTTGGGAATGGTACTATTTTAGAGACAGTGGTATAAATTGACATTAAAAAGACCAGAATGAAATGAAGGAGAGTGATAGTTGTAACTGTGTGTCATCTTGGCTGGACCACAGTTCTGTGTGGTTTAAGCAATTGTGATGTGGGTTATTCCCATGATGGGATCGGATGTATATGTTTTGAGCAGCCAATTCATTGAAAGGGAGTTTCCCTAGGGGTGTGGCCTGCTTGCAATGTATTTATGGACATCTTGGGAAAAGAGACACTCTTCTACTCTTCTGTGGATCGGGATCCTGTTGTGCTGCCTACAACTGTCCATGAGCGAACAATCCACAATTCGGCCTGGAGATCTTGGATTCGTCATTTGTTGGAGTCAACAGCCTGTATACTGCCTGCCAACCTTGAGCTCCTCAGCCCCTGTAGCTGCGTGAGTGGGAAAAGGCTCCAGCTTGATGTTTGATCTAAGAACTTGGGACTTGCCAGCTTCTGTAAGTGTGTGAACAATTTTCCTAAGATAAATTTCTCTTTCTCTATATGTATATGTAAGCTTTACTGGTTTTGCTTCTCTAGAGAACCCAGGCTAACACAAGGAGGGAGTCACATAAGTGTCTTCAGGAAGAGCTATCCAAATAGAAGAAGCAGGAAGTACAAAGGTCCTCAGGTGGGAACCTGTTGTTCAGACCTATTGCTCCAGATTATAGGAATCGTGGGGCTTGTTCCTTGCAGAAAGTTCTTGGAGGAGGGCAGGCAATGGTCCATTGCAGAAGGGATGGAGGTGATCTGGTAAACATCTGCAGGAAAAAAGATGAGGGTGGAGATACCACCTGACCAGAGAGTTGAGAACTATACATCAGGCATTAGATTTTATTGGGTAATTCATTCACTGAACCAGCTATACGGTTGTTTCATTAACAAACATCTAATGTCTGTATGTGCCAGGCATGGTGCTGGACCTGGGAATAGAAAGATAAAGTATTCACTCTACTCTCAAGGAGAGCCCAGACATGAAGATAAACATTCCAATTAATGCTACTGATCCTGTGACAGGGTGTGTATAGAAGAGGGAGCATATATATAAGGGTCTGGTCAAAGACTTTGGTGAGCAAATAATCTGAGAAGCTGGACTATATAAAGAAAAACGTGGTATCAGGATTGGAGGAAGAATCATTAACAACCTGAGATATGCAGACAATACAACTTTGCTTGCTGAAAGTGAGGATG